CAACCCGAGGGACAACAACCCCTAACGAGGGGCATCAACCCTTAACGAGAGACAACAACCCTTAACGAGGGACAACAACCCTTAACGAGGGGCATCAACCCTTAACCAGAGACAACAACCCTTAACGAGAGACAACAACCCTTAACGAGGACAACAACCCTTAACGAGGACACAACCCTTAACGAGAGACAACCAACCCTAACGAGGGACAACAACCCTTAACGAGGGGCATCAACCCTTAACGAGAGACAACAACCCTTAACGAGAGACAACAACCCTTAACGAGGACAACAACCCTTAACGAGGGGCATCAACCCTTAACGAGAGACAACAACCCTTAACGAGGGACAACAACCCTTAACGAGGGACAACAACCCTTAACGAGGGACAACAACCCTTAACGAGGGGCATCAACCCTTAACGAGAGACAACAACCCTTAACGAGGGACAACAACCCTTAACGAGGGACATCAACCCTTAACGAGAGACAACAACCCTTAACGAGGGACAACAACCCTTAACGAGGGGCATCAACCCTTAACGAGGGGCATCAACCCTTAACGAGGGACAACAACCTTTAACGAGGGACAACAACCCTTAACGAGGGACAACAACCTTTAACGAGGGACAACAACCCTTAACGAGGGACAACAACCCTTAACGAGGGACAACAACCCTTAACGAGGGACAACAACCTTTAAGGGGTTTCTGAGCTGTGATTGGTCGGTTCCTGTAGTGTGTTTCTGAGCTGTGATTGGCTGGTTCCTGTAGTGTGTTTCTGAGCTGTGATTGGTTTGTCATATTAAACGGTGGGCTTTGATTGGTTAAGATGTTTTGGAAGAAAATGATTTCAGGTCCGCCGAAGGTTTCCTCCCCCTCTCCCTCCTGTGACTCAGACCCTTGCCCTCCTGCTCTGCGGCGCCCCCCTCGACGCCGCCACTTCCCCTCAGGAGTCGTCAGCTTGTTGCGAAGCAATCAGAGACATCGGTTGTGTTACGGGATCATAGAAAGGTCAAAGTTCAAGTGTCTGCTATCAGGGAGTCCTGGCCAAGTGCACAAATGATGACCTCACAACCCAAACTCAGGACGAGTCAGAGGTCTGTGACCTCGCCCCCCTTGACTCAGCCAATCACAGAGGCCCAGCCCAGATCAACCAACATACATCCCATGACCTCATCAGCCCCGCCTACAACTACGTCCCGCAATCATCTGCTTTCTACCGCCCCTCACCCTCATTGGTCGGTCCCTGTCAGAGCCACACCAACTGGGCGAGGCTCGGAGGCCACAATGATGTCACTGCTTCTGTTCTGTCACAGGTAACCATGGCAACCCGGTGAGAGGGATGGGCCTTCTAAAGGTGTGCTGGGGCTCATGTATCTCATCAGTTTAAATATATATATATTGGTGCAGTACATTGTACGTACAGGTGTAGAATATATCAGGTGTAGTTAACGGATGAAAAGAAAAAATCAATAAATCAAAACCTTTCTGTCTGCTGTGGAATCAAACAGTGACAGTCCTGTCTGTCTCTCACCTGTCTGTCTCTCACATGTCTGTCTTCTCCTGTCTGTCTCTCACTTGTCTGTCTGCACTCTTTGTGTCTCTCAACTGTCTGTCTCTCCTGTCTGTCTCTTACCTGTCTGTCTGCATACTGTCTGTCTTTCTCCTGTCTGTCTCTCTCCTGTTTGTCTCTCACATGTCTGTCTCTCTCCTGTCTGTCTCTCACATGTCTGTCTCTCTCCTGTCTGTCTCTCACCGGTCTGTCTCTCTCCTGTCTGTCTCTCTCCTGTCTGTCTGCATACTGTCTGTCTCTCTCCTGTCTGCCTCTCACCTGTCTGTCTCTCCTGTCTGTCTGCATACTGTCTGTCTTTCTCCTGTCTGTCTCTCTCCTGTTTGTCTCTCACATGTCTGTCTCTCTCCTGTCTGTCTCTCACATGTCTGTCTCTCTCCTGTCTGTCTCTCACCGGTCTGTCTCTCTCCTGTCTGTCTCTCTCCTGTCTGTCTGCATACTGTCTGTCTCTCTCCTGTCTGCCTCTCACCTGTCTCTCTCTCCTGTCTGTCTCTCTCCTGTCTGTCTCTCACATGTCTGTCTGCACACTGTCTGTTTCTCACCTGTCTCTCTCACCAATCTGTCTCTCTCACCAGTCTGTCTCTCTCCTGTCTGTCTGTCTTGCAGTAATTCCAGTCACAGTCTGGTTGCCATTGACAACAAAATTGAGCAGGCCATGGTGAGTGTTACACAGTTCCACAACCAATGTTTTCCCAGACTGCGCCCTCTGCTGGCTGAATGAATAACGTGTGTGTGTGTGTGTGTGTGTGTGTGTGTGTGTGTGTGTGTGTGTGTGTGTGTGTGTGTGTGTGTGTGTGTGTGTGTGTGTGTGTGTGTGTGTGTGTGTGTGTGTGTGTGTGTGTGTGTGTGTGTGTGTGTGTGTGTGTGGTGTGTGTGTGTGTGTGTGTGTGTGTGTGTGTGTGTGTGTGTGTGTGTGTGTGTGTGTGTGTGTGTGTGTAGGACCTGGTTAAGAGTCACCTGATGCTGGCGGTCAGAGAGGAGGTGGAGCTTCTGAGAGAACAAATCAGAGAGCTGCAGGAGAAGAACACACACCTGGAGAGAGAGAACCACATCCTGAGAGCACTTACACACACACACAACAAAACATAACACACACACACGTCTATATACATATGGGCAGTCAAAAAATTAAATTATTTAGTTTGCGATTAATTTCTACATTTGAATAGTTAATCACAATAAATCCCGTTTTTTAATCGCATCTTTGAAATTCCATTTTTCACAACTAAATATAAGATTTGTAAGGCTTTTATTTTGAAATTTTGTACTGTCTTCAGCACAGCGTGCATTACTTTTTGTTTGAATTCAACCCTGCTTTTTTGAAAAAAGTTAGGACAGCGGTGGAGCCTAAAGTGAAAGTTGATATAAGATAGCTCCGCCTTCATTTGCTGATGTTTCAACACACAATCTAAACATGATGATGATGATGATGATGAAGAGTTGATTAGATAAATTAATAAAAACTAACTGGAGACACTTACAGGCTGGTTGTGTGTTTGTGGGGATGAAGATGGTGATGAGGAGGAGGAAAACCTTTTTAAGGGTGAGATTGAACACTGTAAAAACAGTTCAGGTTACTTTATTTGTAGGTAAATGTGGTTGCAGTTGGGGTTGCATCGACTGAAACACAGAAAATATTTAAAGGTCACATATTCAAAACACTCTTCTCCATGTTCCTCTAACTCTAACATGTGTCTCTAGTCCGTCTACAAACCCCCCAATGATGAGAAAAGTCCATCCTCTCCGTCTTCTCCCTGCTCCACTTTTCAGAAAATGTGTGCTCAAACAGGCCGTTTGGAGATTTTCCCTTCATGACATCACAAAGGGCAGTAGCCCCTCCCCCAGGTGGGTGACACTCCCACAGCTAGGTGTTTGTTCTGCCCTCTGAGTCTGCCTTCTCACCGTAAATAATAGGACATGGAGCGAGAAAGCACAGAGTACACCCAAGCCCTTCCAGAGAGGGGGCGTGGTCAGACACAGCTCATTTACATATTTAAAGGTACAGACACAGAAACAGCCTGTTCTGAGCAGGGCTGAAATAGAGGGGTTTATAGACATGCTCAAATACAGGATCAGAGTGGATTTAGAACAAGAAACTTCACACACATGTTTTGAGGAGCTCTGACACTTATTTACACTGAAGATGAAGAGGAGGAGGATATGTGACCTTTAAAACATACAATGTGCAAATGCATAGTACACGGCTTAAAATGATAGACAAGTTAATCTCTAAAAGTTTCAGACCTTGAAGCAGTGTTGAAACAGGAGTGCAAAAAAAAAAAAAGATGTGAAATTTGTAAAAGTGATCTTTACTAAATGTTTTTCTTGCCTTAAGACCAAAAACGCCCCCTACAGGAGAGGACAGGCTGCAGCCTAATTTAGTCTGAATGTTCAGTTACACATCAATGAATCCATGATGTTTATAAATCTAAAATATAAATGTGTGTGATATAAAACACAAAGTTCATATAACGTGTCCTCAGAGAACTGTCTTTATGATTTATTGATGTATAAATTAAAGTGATTGATGTAACCGAAGTGTAATGAGCAGCTCTGTAAGAGGGTACTGGCCCTTTAAGGGAGGAAGAGGATGAGACCCCCCCCTCCTCCTCCCTCCTCCTCCTCCTTCAGCACATTGTTCTGCAGCTCCCGGCAGCAGCCTCCCTCTGCTGCTATTCGCTACAGACAGACTGAGAGACAAACAGGCAGGCGGGCAGACAGACAGACAAACAGGCTGTCAGACAGACAGGCTGACAGACAGACAGGCTGACAGACAGACAGGCTGTCAGGTCTCCGGTCTGAACGTCTATCAGAGAACCGGCTGCTGGGCGGCGACTGATGGATCCACCAGCTGATACATAAACGTAGACAAAGACAGAGAGAGAGAGAGAGACAGGCGGTCGGAGACGCAGACAAGGCGGACAGAGAGACAGACAGGCGGACGGAGAGACAGACAGGCGGACAGACACTATGACCAGGGGCTCCTCGCGACGTTGGACCCACAGGCACGAGCGGAGGTGAGTGACGGAACAAAGAGTCCTCTCGTCTTTCTCTTCTTTGATCACAGCCCTCTGATGCTCCCACTGCCGTAGCCATGGCAACCATACCTTAGTCTGAGGTCATGAGGAGAGGAGAGGAGAGAAGGAAACAAGGAGAGAAGGAGAGGCGTGTCTCTGACTGATAACCAGAAATCAAATGAATACTGACATCCAAACAGTCACACTCTTATGTTCATATAAATCTATCTGCTTTATTTATATTTATTTATGAATAACTGGAGTATTGTTTATATCAGTGTTTGTTTTCCTGTTTACCTTCCTTGTTTACAAACAGACACGTGACGTCATCAGTGTCAATCAAAGTGTCCGTTACCCAGAAGGGCAGCAGCTTCCTGTCAGCTTCCTAACACCTTAACAACAACAATAATAATAATAAATGTTAATAATGACAGTTATAGAAATGATTCTCTTCTCATCCTCCAAACTTCTCTTAACGTTTTTTTTTTATTTTTATGAATTTGCAGAAACAGCCGTTCATTTATTAATTTATTTATTAAGTTATTAATTAATCAATCAATTAATTTAGTGATGTATGTCCACGTCCTGTTTGATGTAAATGAAACGTGATGGACTGTTCCTTTAAATGAGCCGGTCAACAGGAAGACAAGTGAAGGAAGTCAGCTTCCTGACACACAAACAAGCTCCATCCCCCTGCGTGTGTGTGTGTGCGTGTGTGTGTGTGTGTGTGTGTGTGTGTGTGTGTCCTACTTTCTGCTCTTTGTTTGACGGCTTCATTGAAAACACAAAGGCCGTGTGTGAACACATGAGGGTGACACGGTGACAGATGATATTTATAACTCAGCTTTAATGAAAAGAAATATAAAAAGATCGTTTCTCTATGAACAAACTGAAGAATTCAAAGAGGATTAAAAATAAGCGAGTCGTGTTGACGGCGTCGCTGATTTCAGATTTAAAGTGATGAACTGACGTTGTGTTTCTAAAAACAGGACGTTGATGTGATGAAACAACGATCACATTTACAACACACACTCGTGTCAATCAAACATTCTCCATCCATCACCATCTACACACAAATCCTGCTGAGGGGGAGGGGCTAATCCTGTTGAGGGGGTGGGGCTAATCCTGTTGAGGAATTGCGGGGGTGGGGGTAATCCCAGTTGTGGTTTAGGAAAGTAGAGGGGTTACACCTGAACAGGTGGTCTGTCACTCCCCTGACTGACTGTCTGTCTGACTGTCTGCTGCAGGTAACCCAGCGCTAAGGTGAGGCAGGTTGTGATTGGTGGTTGCCATGGCACCAAGACCATCGTCAGGGGAGCTGTGGGGGCTCCATCTGATGCCCCCTCGTATCCTGGTGGACTGCTGCCTTCCAAACGGTAACATCCTCCTTTCCTCTCCTCTCCTCTCCTCTCCCCTCCTCTCCTCTCCTCTCCTCTCCTCTCCTCTCCTCTCCTCTCCTTTTCCCTCCTCTCCTCTCCTCTCCCCTCCTCTCCTCTCCTCTCCTCTCCCCTCCTCTCCTCTCCTCTCCTCTCCTCTCCCCTCCTCTCCTCTCCTCTCCTCCTGACAGTGTCTTTGTCTCTCTGCGTCTCAGGTATGATGGTCAGTCTGGAGTGTCTCAGAGAGACTCCTCTCATCAGTATTAAGCAGCAGCTCTTCACTGAGGCCAGGAAGTATCCTCTGTATCACCTGCTGCAGGTACGTCTCTGTCTTACCTCTCAACCCTTCTCTCGAATTCTCTGGTTATAACAGGAATAACTTCTGCTTTCTGATTGGCCAGGAGGAGTCATGCTACATCTTTGTGGGCGTGACCCAGGAAGCAGAAAGGGAGGAGTTTTACGATGAGACGAGGCGGCTGTGTGACCTTCGACTCTTTCACCCGATTCTGAAGGTCATCGAGCCACTGGGCAACCGTGAGGAGAAGATCCTGAACCGAGAGATAGGTAAGACCTGTTCTCACCTGTTCTCACCTGTCCTCACTTTCATAGCCTGTCTTTACTGTATTCACCTGTCTATTGCTGCCCTCACCTGCGCCCACCTGTCCTCCCCTCTCCTCACTGTCCTCACCTGTCCTCACCTGTTCTCACCTTTCCTCACATTCATACCCTGCCCTCACTTTACTCACCTGTACTCTCTGTCCTCACCTGTCCTCAATGTCATCACCTGTCCTCACCTGTCCTCAATGTCATCACCTGCCCTCACTGTCCTCACCTGTCCTCAATGTCATCACCTGTTCTCACTGTCACCACCTGTCCTCAATGTCCTCACCTGTCCTCAATGTCCTCACCTGTCCTCACCTGTTCTCACCTTTCCTCACATTCATACCCTGCCCTCACTTTACTCACCTGTACTCTCTGTCCTCACCTGTCCTCAATGTCATCACCTGTCCTCACTGTCCTCACCTGTCCTCAATGTCATCACCTGCCCTCACTGTCCTCACCTGTCCTCAATGTCATCACCTGTTCTCACTGTCACCACCTGTCCTCAATGTCCTCACCTGTCCTCAATGTCCTCACCTGTCCTCAATGTCCTCACCTGTTCTCACCTTTCCTCACATTCATACCCTGCCCTCACTTTACTCACCTGTACTCTCTGTCCTCACCTGTCCTCAATGTCATCACCTGTCCTCACTGTCCTGACCTGTCCTCACTGTCCTCACCTGTCCTCAATGTCATCACCTGCCCTCACTGTCATCACCTGTCCTCACTGTCCTCACCTGTCCTCAATGTCATCACCTGTTCTCACTGTCATCACCTGTCCTCAATGTCCTCACCTGTCCTCAATGTCCTCACCTGTCCTCAATGTCCTCACCTGTCCTCAATGTCATCACCTGTTCTCACTGTCCTCAATGTCCTCACCTGTCCTCAATGTCATCACCTGTCCTCACCTGTCCTCAATGTCCTCACCTGTCCTCAATGTCCTCACCTGTCCTCAATGTCATCACCTGTCCTCAATGTCCACACCTGTCCTTACTGTCCTCACCTCTCCTCACCAGTCCTCACTGTCCACACCTGTCGCCTGCATCACCTCTCACATCTAAACTGTCATCTCTTGTCAAGCATCACCTGTCACCTGGGAATTCCTGAAATCACCTGTCACCTGGGAATTCCTGACATCACCTGTCCTCACCTGTCTGCACAGCCATTGGACAATCAACAAACATCTCCTCATCCATCATCTGCCAATAGCATGCCATCTAACATGTGGTCACTGGTATCACTCTAGCAGAGTCTAACAGGGCCAAAGCATGTTAGACTAGATCCAGAGCAGGGTCTAACAGGGCCAGGGTGGGTTGGACTGGACTGGATCCAGAGCAGGGTCAAACAGGGCCAGGGTTTGGTTGGACCGGTTCCAGAACAGGGTCAAACAGGGCCAAAGCAGGTTAGACTAGATCCAGAGCAGGGTCAAACAGGGCCAGGGTGGGTTGGACTGGACTGGACCCAGAGCAGGGTCAAACAGGGCCAGGGTGGGTTGGACCAGTTCCAGAACAGGGTCAAACAGGGCCATAGCAGGTTAGACTAGATCCAGAGCAGGGTCAAACAGGGCCAGGGTTTGGTTGGACTGGTTCCAGAACAGGGTCAAACAGGGCCTGAGTAGGTTGGACCAGTTCCAGAACAGGGTCAAACAGGGCCATAGCAGGTTAGACTAGATCCAGAGCAGGGTCAAACAGGGCCAGGGTTTGGTTGGACTGGTTCCAGAACAGGGTCAAACAGGGCCAAAGCAGGTTAGACTAGATCCAGAGCAGGGTCAAACAGGGCCAAAGCAGGTTAGACTAGATCCAGAGCAGGGTCAAACAGGGCCAAAGCAGGTTAGACTAGATCCAGAGCAGGTTGGACCAGTTCCAGAATAGGGTCAAACAGGACCTGAGTAGGTTGGACCAGTTCCAGAACAGGGTCAAACAGGGCCAGGGTTTGGTTGGACCGGATCCAGAACAGGGTGAAGCTGACCCTCCCCTCCTGCAGGGTTTGCCATCGGGATGCCCGTGTGTGAGTTTGAGATGATGAAGGACCCGGAGGTTCAGGACTTCAGGCGGTCCATACTGAGCGTGTGCAGAGAGGCCATGGAGGAGCGGGAAGGGGGAGGAGCCCACAGCCAGGCACTCTACGTTTACCCCCCCAACCTAGAGTCCAGCCCCCAGCTCCCCCAGCACATCTACAGCAAGCTGGACAAAGGTAATAGCCCCCGAGGACCTACCTGTCTCTCTCTCTTTCTTCCTATACCTGTCTGTCTCTTTAAACCTGTCTGCCTGTCTGCAGGGAGGCTCATCGTGACCATCTGGGTGATCGTGTCACCATCGAACTCTAAACAGAAGTACACCCTGAAGGTAAGACCTTGGTGGAGGAGGTGAGGCTGCCTGAACTCTCCCGCCCCCTCCTGATCTGATGTTGTGTGTGCAGGTCAGTCACGACAGTCTACCTGAGCAGCTGATCGCAGAGTCCATCAGGAAGAAAAGCCGATCGATGCACCTTTCACCTCAACAGCTCCGCCTCTGTGTGCAGGAATATCAGGGCCAATACATCCTGAAGGTGCCTGTCTGTCTGTCTGTCTGTCTGTCTGTCTGTCTGTCTATCTGTCTGTCTGTCTGTCTGTCTGTCTGTCTGTCTGTCTGTCTGTCAGTGGACTCACCTGTCTGTCTCTCTACCTGTCTGTCTCTCTACCTGTCTCAGGTGTGTGGCTGTGACGAGTACCTCTTGGAGAAATATCCCCTCAGTCAGTACAAGGTAAACACCTCTAACTTCATATGTCAGCTATTACAGTTTCTCTCAGTCGCTTTGGTACATTTCTCGAATCATCCTCGACATTTGCAAAACAGTAAGTGCATTTCTCAAAACAATTCGTACAAATAGCAAAACACCTTGGATTACCTGCAAAAGCCAGTCTCTTGCTCAAAATCCTCAGTTCAACTCTCAAAAGTAAATATCTGTGTCAATGAACATGTCAGTGCCATCAGAATGACAAGTCCTTGTGTCATTGTGTACAGGTAAGACAGTCAAATTACTTAGTCATGTTGTCAATATAACAGTGGACTCTGGAGGGCTGTTCTGATATAAACTATGGCTAAAGTTCTGATGACAATTGTATGTTACACCTTAGTGTATGTGGGAGATTGATTGCAAGAGACTGGACAAGATTCACATTTACGCTTTTACTGTTTGTGCTGTAATTTGTTGACAGACCGTGTCATTGACATACAGAAAGGAAGAGACAGCACTGCGTAGCACAAAGAAAAAAAGAAAAAAACAAAAGTCGAAATGTGAACATAGGACAATCTCCTTAGGGAAAACTGTACATGCAGTGCTGTAGGAATTACAGTGCAGTCTTCCTACACCTCCTGACGTTCCTGTCTGTTGGGCCACAAATTCTCATCCACATCACAACGAATATCTTCTCTTGCGATGCAGCGTGGAAAGAATCTTTTCGAGTGTCTTATCCAGCCTCTGCAGGCATCTGCTGTGATGTCATCACACGCTGCATCCATGGCAGCCAGAAGGGTCATCTGGCGATCATATACTTTCCATCTCCATGCTGAGAAAAATTCCTCAATGGGGTAAAGGAATGGGGAGTAGGGGGAGAGGAACTCCATCAGCATCCTGTTGTGACCATTGCCTGATGATGTTGGAGCGATGGAAACTGACATTGTCTCAAACTATCACGTACTTTATCAAGTCATCTCCAATCTGAGCCCTCTCTTGTTCAGGGAGGAGATCCCTGTAGAGAGTGTCTACAAAGGTGACAGGACGCTCTGTGTTGTATGGCCCAATAATGGGAATATGCGTTAGCACACCATTCTCAGAGATAGCAGCACCCATGGTTATGTTCCCGCCCCGTTGGCCTGGCACATCAACTGTAGCTCTGTGGCCGATGATATTTCAACCACGCCTTCTGCGTTTCGTTAGGTTGAAGCCAGCCTCATCCATGTAGATGAAGTCGTGCGGTGGTTCACTTGCTTCCAGTTCCATTATACACTATATCCAGAAGACACAAAATGAGTTTTATGAATCACATGCATTTTCATTTTGGACTAGATACAGTTTCATCAAATGTATACAGCACATACTGCATCTTCTTTTCTACAGCCATAGCAAATGTGTCACACATACTGTACATCACTATACGATGTACTGTTATCTGTGAGGTACAGTTACTGCATGCTCATACATGTTTCATATTCATTTGGTGTCTTTTCAGCACCCTGTCAATGGTTGAGATGCTGACTGTTAGGATGTTTTCAAAGATGTTGTTGTCCTCTATAATGGCACTCTTTATCTCCCTAAGTCTTATGGCATTGTTTTCTACAACCATGGTGCAAATAGCCTCCTCCTGTTCAGGTGTGAAAAGGAGCCCTCTGCCACCCCTGTGAAGTTGTCTTGCAGTCCTATGTGGAAAAAATAGAGTAATGCAAAACACAAAATTGAGTAAGATAAAATGTCACTGTATAAAGTATACTTACTGTATATTGTAAAATGCAAGTGGAATACTGTAATATTGTATGAAGTATTACAGACAGTATACAGTATTACAGTACAGTGACTATTGTTAGGTTACATACCTGTTCTGTCGATGAAAAGTCTGAATGATTGAGGACACAGTTGTTCTCCCAACATTTGGCTGAAACCCTTCGACCAGCCTCGGCCATTGGAAGCCCAGGATTGAGAACGTGATCTACAAGTGTGGTTCTTATCTCATCAGGAACACGCAGATGTCCAGATGTTGTGGGGGGTGAGACTATTCAACAGAGACCCATTATAAAACATTTTTAGCAACATGACATAATTGATAATGTAGGAAACAGCAGAGAATTGTACATAATCATTTGCATGGATGTACCAAAGCATTAGCAACTTGTTCATAGAAATGAGAAACTGCACAAGTGACACAATGATGTGAAGATTGAACAAGTAGTTTTGAGAATTTCAATTCTGATCTGAGAAATCTACCAAAGCGACTGAGAAAAACTGTAAACACCACCTCACTTTCACTGCCTGTCTCACCACCTCCACCTGTCTGTCTTCCTGCAGTATATCCGCTCCTGCATCATCGTGGGCCGTCTTCCTCACCTGATGCTCGTGTCCAAAGACAGTCTGTACTCTCAGCTCCCCGCCTCAGGCTTCGTCACACCTTCATACAGGTACGTCTCTGACGCAGGTGGTAATCAGCCAATCAGGCGCCTGTTTGTGATGTTTGTGATGTTTGTGATGTTTGTGATGTTTGTGATGTTTGTGATGTTTGTGTTGTTTGTGTTGTTTGTGATGTTTGTGATGTTTGTGTTGTTTGTGTTGTTTGTGATGTTTGTGATGTTTGTGTTGTTTGTGATGTTTGTGTTGTTTGTGATGTTTGTGATGTTTGTGATGTTTGTGATGTTTGTGATGTTTGTGTTGTTTGTGATGTTTGTGATGTTTGTGATGTTTGTGTTGTTTGTGATGTTTGTGATGTTTGTGATGTTTGTGTTGTTTGTGATGTTTGTGTTGTTTGTGATGTTTGTGATGTTTGTGTTGTTTGTGTTGTTTGTGATGTTTGTGATGTTTGTGTTGTTTGTGTTGTTTGTGATGTTTGTGTTGTTTGTGATGTTTGTGTTGTTTGTGTTGTTTGTGATGTTTGTGATGTTTGTGATGTTTGTGTTGTTTGTGATGTTTGTGTTGTTTGTGATGTTTGTGATGTTTGTGATGTTTGTGTTGTTTGTGATGTTTGTGTTGTTTGTGTTGTTTGTGATGTTTGTGATGTTTGTGTTGTTTGTGTTGTTTGTGATGTTTGTGATGTTTGTGATGTTTGTGATGTTTGTGTTGTTTGTGTTGTTTGTGATGTTTGTGATGTTTGTGATGTTTGTGTTGTTTGTGTTGTTTGTGATGTTTGTGATGTTTGTGTTGTTTGTGATGTTTGTGATGTTTGTGTTGTTTGTGTGTTTTGTTGTTTGTGTTGTTTGTGATGTTTGTGATGTTTGTGATGTTTGTGTTGTTTGTGATGTTTGTGATGTTTGTGATGTTTGTGATGTTTGTGTTGTTTGTGATGTTTGTGATGTTTGTGATGTTTGTGATGTTTGTGTTGTTTGTGTTGTTTGTGATGTTTGTGTTGTTTGTGATGTTTGTGATGTTTGTGATGTTTGTGATGTTTGTGTTGTTTGTGTTGTTTGTGATGTTTGTGTTGTTTGTGTTGTTTGTGATGTTTGTGATGTTTGTGATGTTTGTGATGTTTGTGATGTTTGTGATGTTTGTGTTTGTGATGTTTGTGATGTTTGTGATGTTTGTGTTTCAGCCGTCGCACACCTCAGCCGTCTCCGTGTCCCGGAGGGGGAGACGGGTCTCCTGCTCGCTCTCTGTGGGCGTTCAACACTCTGCTGAGAGTCCGTCTGCTGTGTGCGACCTATGTCAACGTCAACATCCGAGACATCGACAAGGTGAGACAGCCCGTCTGTCTGTCTGTCTGTCTGTCTGTCTTTATCATTTAATTAACAAAAGTCACATTCTGTCTGTGTGTGTGTGTGTGTGTGTGTGTGTGTGTGTGTCTGTGTGTGTGTTGTGTGTGTGTGTGTGTGTGTTGTGTGTGTGTGTGTGTGTGTGTGTGTGTGTGTGTGTTGTGTGTGTCTGTGTGTGTGTGTCTGTGTGCTGTGTCTGTGTGTCTGTGTCTGTGTGTGTCTGTGTGTCTGTGTGTGTGTGTGTGTGTGTGTGTGTGTGTGTGTCTGTGTGTCTGTGTCTGTGTGTGTGTGTGTGTGTGTGTGTGTGTGTGTCTGTGTGTCTGTGTCTGTGTGTGTGTGTGTGTGTGTCTGTGTGTCTGTGTGTGTGTGTGTGTGTGTGTGTGTGTGTGTGTGTCTGTGTGTCTGTGTGTGTGTGTGTGTGTGTGTGTGTGTGTGTGTGTGTCTGTGTGTGTGTGTGTGTGTCTGTGTGTGTGTGTGTCTGTGTGTGTGTGTCTGTGTGTGTGTGTGTGTGTGTGTGTGTGTGTCTGTGTGTCTGTGTGTGTTGTGTGTGTGTGTGTGTGTGTCTGTGTGTCTGTGTCTGTGTGTGTGTGTGTGTGTGTGTGTGTGTCTGTGTGTCTGTGTCTGTGTGTGTGTGTGTTGTGTGTGTGTGTCTGTGTGTCTGTGTGTGTGTGTGTGTGTGTGTGTGTGTGTGTGTGTCTGTGTCTGTGTGTGTGTGTGTGTGTGTGTGTGTGTGTGTGTGTGTGTGTGTGTGTGTCTGTGTGTCTGTGTGTGTGTGTGTGTGTCTGTGTGTGTGTGTGTCTGTGTGTGTGTGTCTGTGTGTGTGTGTGTGTGTGTGTGTGTGTGTGTGTGTGTGTGTGTGTGTGTGTGTGTGTGTGTGTGTGTAGATCTATGTGAGGACAGGTATTTATCACGGTGGAGAGCCGCTCTGTGATAACGTCAACACACAGAGAGTTCCCTGCTCCAACCCAAGGTAACACTATACACACTGTCTCTCTGCCTGTCTGTCTCTCTAACCTGTCTATCTGACCTGTCTGTGTATTACCTGTCTCCCTCTCTAACCTGTCTGTCGGCCCAGGTGGAACGAGTGGTTGACCTATGACATCTACCTGGCTGACCTGCCTCGCTCTGCCAGGCTGTGCCTGTCTATCTGCTCTGTGAAGGGAAGGAAAGGAGCTAAGGAGGTAGGAAAGGACAGAGAGGACACCAATGAAGGACGACTGAATCTGTCTGTCCCTCTACCTGTCTATCAGTCATATCATGTGTCTGTGTGTCTGTCTGTCCTGTCTCTCTCTCTCTTCTGTCTTACTCTCTGATCACCTGCCTGTCTCTCTGCATGTCTCTCATCACCTGTCTGTCTGTCTTTCTGTCTCACCACCTATCTGTCTGCCGGAAACACTGTTCTCTGGGCCGGGGGAATGTTAGACTATTTGACTGTCTCTCTGCCTGCCTGTCTCTCTGATCACCTGTAAGTCTGTCTCTCTACCTGTCTATCTGTCTGACGACCTGTCTGTCTCTCCATCTGTCTGTCTGTCTGTCTGACGACCTGTCTGTCTCTCTGATCACCTGTAAGTCTGTCTCTCCACCTGTGTGTCTATCTGACGACCTGTCTGTCTCTCCACCTGACTATCTGTCTGACGATCTGTCTGTCTCTCCACCTGTCTGTCTGTCTGATGACCTGTCTGTCTCTCCATCTGTCTGTCTGTCTGTCTGACGACCTGTCTGTCTCTCCACCTGTGTGTCTGTCTATCTGTCTGACAACCTGTCTGTCTCTCAGATCACCTGTAAGTCTGTCTCTCCACCTGTGTGTCTATCTGACGACCTGTCTGTCTCTCCACCTGACTATCTGTCTGACGATCTGTCTGTCTCTCCACCTGTGTGTCTGTCTGACAACCTGTCTGTCTCTCCAACTGTCTATCTGTCTGACGAGCTTTCTGTCTCTCCACCTGTGTGTCTGTCTATCTGTCTGACGACCTGTCTGTCTCTCTGATCACCTGTAAGTCTGTCTCTCCACCTGTCTATCTGTCTGGCGACCTGTCGCTCCACCTGACTGTCTGTCTATCTGTCTGATGACCTGTCTGTCTCTCCACCTGTGTATCTGTCTATCTGTCTGACGACCTGTCTGTCTCTCCACCTGTGTGTGTGTCTGTCTATCTGTCTGACGACCTGTCTGTCTCTCCACCTGTGTGTGTGTCTGTCTATCTGTCTGACGACCTGTCTGTCTCTCCACCTGTCTGTCTTTCAGGAGCACTGTCCTCTGGCCTGGGGGAATGTAAATCTGTTCGACTATACAGATGTCCTGGTGTCTGGTAAAGTGGCTCTCGGGCTTTGGCCGGTCCCTCATGGCCTTGAGGACCTCCTGAATCCAATTGGAGTAGCTGGTTCCAATCCCAACAAGGTACACGACCATGTCTTTACCTGTCTGTGTGCGCACCTGTCAATCTCAGAGACACGATTGATCCAGATGAAGTGCATCAATGTCTGATTGGTGATGTGCTCCTCTGTAGGAGACTCCCTGTGTGGAGCTGGAGTTCTCCTGGTTCAATCAGACTGTAGTGTTTCCTGATGACCAGCAGATAGAAGAGCATGCCAACTGGACCATCAGCCGAGAGCTGGGCTACACCTACTGCCACGGACTGGTAATCTATATTTATATATCTACAACTACTGCCACGGACTGGTAATCTATATTTATATATCTACAACTACTGCCATGGACTGGTAATCTATATTTATATATCTACACCTACTGCCACGGACTGGTAATCTATATTTATATATCTACAACTACTGCCACGGCCTGGTAATCTATATTTATATATCTACAACTACTGCCACGGACTGGTAATCTATATTTATATATCTACAACTACTGCCACGGACTGGTAATCTATATTTATATATCTACACCTACTGCCACGGACTGGTAATCTATATTTATATATCTACAACTACTGCCACGGACTGGTAATCTATATTTATATATCTACAACTACTGCCACGGACTGGTAATCTATATTTATATATCTACAACTACTGCCATGGACTGGTAATCTATATTTATATATCTACACATACTGCCATGGACTGGTAATCTATATTTATAGCTCTATACCTGTCTGTCTGTTTCAGACCGGTCGTCTGGCCTGTGACAGCAGTGTTTCAGCAACTGATGGAGAGCAGCTCCGTTCTCTGTGCTCCAGAGATCCTCTGTATGAGCTGTCAGAGCAGGAGAAGGACTTCCTGTGGAGACACAGGTAAGGGACGGACTCTACCTGGAGACACAGATAAGGGAGGGACTCTACCTGGAGACAGGGGTGAGGGAGGGACTCTACCTGGAGACACAGGTGTGGGAGGGACTCTACCTGGAGACACAGGTGTGGGAGGGACTCTACCTGGAGACAGGGGTGGAGGGACTCTACCTGGAGACAGGGTGAGGGAGGGACTCTACCTGGAGACAGGGGTGAGGGAGGGACTCTACCTGGAGACACAGGTGAGGGAGGGACTCTACCTGGAGACACAGGTGAGGGAGGGACTCTACCTGGAGACACAGGTGAGGGAGGGACTCTACCTGGAGACAGGGTGAGGGAGGGACTCCACCTGGAGACACAGGTGAGGGAGGGACTCTACCTGGAGACACAGGTGAGGGAGGGACTCTACCTGGAGACACAGGTGAGGGAGGGACTCTACCTGGAGACACAGGTGAGGGAGGGACTCTACCTGGAGACAGGGGTGAGGGAGGGACTCCACCTGGAGACACAGGTGAGGGAGGGACTCTACCTGGAGACACAGGTGTTGGAGGGACTCTACCTGGAGACACAGGTGTGGGAGGGACTCTACCTGGAGACAGGGGTGAGGGAGGGACTCTACCTGGAGACACAGGTGTGGGAGGGACTCTACCTGGAGACACAGGTGAGGGAGGGACTCCACCTGGAGACACAGGTGAGGGAGGGACTCTACCTGGAGACACAGGTGTTGGAGGGACTCTACCTGGAGACACAGGTGTGGGAGGGACTCTACCTGGACACAGGGGTGAGGGAGGGACTCTACCTGGAGACACAGGTGTGGGAGGGACTCTACCTGGAGACAGGGTGAGGGAGGGACTCCACCTGGAGACACAGGTGAGGGAGGGACTCTACCTGGAGACACAGGTGTGGGAGGGACTCCACCTGGAGACACAGGTGAGGGAGGGACTCTACCTGGAGACACAGGTGAGGGAGGGACTCTACCTGGAGACACAGGTGTGGGAGGGACTCCACCTGGAGACACAGGTGAGGGAGGGACTCTACCTGGAGACATAGGTGTGGGAGGGACTCTACCTGGAGACAGGGGTGAGGGAGGGACTCTACCTGGAGACACAGGTGAGGGAGGGACTCCACCTGGAGACACAGGTGAGGGAGGGACTCTACCTGGAGACACAGGTGTTGGAGGGACTCCACCTGGAGACACAGGTGAGGGAGGGACTCCACCTGGAGACACGGGTGTTGGAGGGACTCTACCTGGAGACAG